TTATTTATCTATTTATTTATTTTTAAAAAATTTGTCCAGAGAGAGAGAGAAAAATAGTAAGCCAGCAGATCCAGGACTCGAACTGTAGTGGGCCATGTGAGAGTCCATTGCCCTTAACCACCACGCCACCTGCCAGCCCTCAAGCCTTTGAAGAGTGTTGACATAGAAATGTTAAGATCAGGGACCAGCAGGTGGCATGGTGGTTAAGGCTCTGGATATTCCCACATGACTGATCACTGTTCAAGTTCTGGACCTGGTAGCTTGCTTGCTTTCTCACTTTTCCTCTCTCTCTCTCTCTCTTCCTCTCCCTCCCTCCCTCCCTCCCTCCCTCCCTCTGGTCAAATTAAAATAAATGAATGAATAAATAAAATTAAATCTTTAAAAAAGTTAAGATCATTTAAAATAATTTGTTTTCAGTGAGCATATATTGATTTGAATATATTTATTATATAAAGTAAAAACACAGAATAAAACAATATTGGGAACCAGCAGTTAGCGTAATGGCTATGTCGCTGGACTCCCACGTAGTCGACCACGGTTCGTGTCCCGGACCCGGTGGCTTAAAACTCAAGCCGGGCGCGTGTGCGTGCGTGCCCAAGATCCCGAGAGGAGAATGGAGGAGAAGGGATTGTGGCGTGACCATCCCCCCTTGGGGGTGATTTCTCGCTTTCTGTCTCTATGTCTCTCTCTGTCTGTCTGGCGAGCGCACGCGCCCTACAGTGAAAATCTCTCAAAAAAAAAAAAAAACCAATATTTACAGTATGATCCCATTCTTTCTTTTAAAGTATATACGTATACGTGCGGAAGGTAAGGAGGCCTACCAGGATATCTATGTCATAGTATCAATAATAGTACCTCTGAGTGTTGAGGTTTGAGGAATTTTTTTTGCTGGTTTATATACATATCCTGACTTTTCTACAATCCACACTTACTATTTTTCTTTAAGTATAAATTTTTTTTTAAATTGTCAGAGGACATGTATGCTTGCTAGAGAGAGACAGAGAAGGGTAGAAAGCAACCTCCACTAGAGTGCGGTCATGCTATAAGCCCTCCTCCTCCATCTCTCCATCTTTTTTTTTTTTTTTGGAGAGGTTTTTGCTATAGGGCGCGTGTACTCACCGGACAGACAGAGAGAGAGAGACATAGAGACAGAAAGCGAGAAATCACCCCCGAGGGAGATGGTCACGCCGCAATCCCTTCTCCTCCATTCTCCTCTTGGGATCTTGGGCACGCACGCACATGCGCCCAGGGTGAGTTTTAAGCCACCGGGTTCGGGGTGTGAACCGCGGTCGACTACGTGGGAGTCCAGCGACATAGCCATTACGCTAACTGCTGGTTCCCCCATCTCTCCATCTTGTGGCAATTTGGGGGACACACACACACACACACACACACACACACACACACACGGCATTTAAAAAATATATATTTATTTTATTTATTATTATTATTTAATTTGACCAGAGAGAGAGAGAGAGAAAGGGAAAGTGAGAAAACAAGCCATCAGGTCCCGGACTCAAACTGTGGTCAGTCATGTTGGAGTTCAGAGGCCATGTAGGAGTCTAGCGCACTTTAATTACAATGCCATGTGCTGGTCCTTGGCATGTTTTTCAAGATGCCATGTCTAGGACTCAAACTATACAGTCAAACACGTGGGATCTGGCTCCCGTAACCACTAGGCTACAGGGCCAGTCCAGTTAGAAGTCATTTTAACTTATGTATGTGTCATTATTTTTTGCTTTTAACTTGTTTTTAATGAGCACGTATTGTATGATAGCTGAGGGAGATGACCTATAAATACACCAGTGGTAAGATAAAACCTTGAGGGGCCAGCAGGTGGCATGGTGGTTATGGCACTAGACACTCCCACATGACCAACCATGGTTCAAGTCCTGGACCTGGTGGCTTACTTTCTCACTTTTCATCTCTGCATGTGTGTGTATGTCTCTCTCTGGTCAAATTAAAATAAATGAATCAATCAATAAAATTAAATGAATAATTCTTTTAAAAAAAAGATAGGACCTTGAAAGTGAAAGTTGGCTGTATAGTAGCATTTATGTTATCCAAATGTCTAGTAACCTGAGAATGGCTAAGCAGATTACTGTTTATCAGTCTGGTATAATAACATATAGTCTTTAAAAATGACAAATGCATAGATTGTTGATACTTAGAAATAGGTTTATGAAATAGGTAGAACAAGGTAAAGCATATGTAGTACATTTCATAGCAATTACATGTAAATACTTAAGTAAATTTGGAGAATGTAGGTTGTATTATATCCTTTCCTTGTGGTAAAATAGGAATAATGTAGATTTACCATTTTAAGCATTGTAAATTTAAAATTTGTTGTCATTAAGGGTATTGACAATGTGTGCAAACACACTACTCTCCATTTCTAGAACTCCTTGTTGTTTATAAGCCAGAAGGTACATGCACTCACCAGAGATGGAAAGAAAGGGAAAAAGCACCCCTCAGTGGGGCCTGGTCACACTACAATCCCTTCTCCATTTTTCCACCCTGTTGGGATTTTGGACATGCACACATATGCTCTACAAGGTTTTCAACCTGTGGGGCTGGGATTTGAACCACATAGTCATGTGGAATCCAGATGCCTTAACCACTAGGCCACAGGACTGGCCCCAGAACACTTTCATTCATCCATTAAATAGCAACTCCCCCCTTTCCTCCCCTGGTAACCTCTATGCTACTTTCTGTCCCTATGGATTTGCCCCTTCTGGGAATGATACATTATTCGTCCATTCAGCTCTGGCCTATTTAACTTATCATCTATATCATAGCATGTGTCAGAATTTCCCTCCTTTTAAAGACTGAGTAATAGTCCATTGTATGGATATGCCACATTTTGGTTATCCATTCATCTGTCCATGGTGGCTCCAGTTGCTTTCACCTTTTGGCTATTGTGAACGATGATGCTGAGAACACAGGTATACATATATCTCCTCCCCAAGTCCCTGCTTTCAATTCTTTGGGGACATAAACCTGTAAGTGGAATTGCTGAATCATATGGTAATTCCATGTTTAACTTTGAGCAACTGCCAACTTTATATTGTCTTTTCAATAGAAAGCCTTCTGGTTTACTTACACCTAGAGTCCTCAGTTCTTTTTGTTGTGCCTAATATGCACACACATTATCAAGGGATTACTAGATGCAAAAGCATTTTGTTCTGTTTAAGGGAACGAGCCTTTTTAGATCTTAAGATATTAGAGTGTTTTGAATGTGACCATGGAAAACAAGGTCAACTCAGATGATCAAAACGTCCAGATGCTTCCAGAACCCTTATATTTTTTATCAACAGTTTTAACTTTTACCTTCTCCCAGAAAGGTAGAAATAAAAATTAATGGACTTATAATTGCTTTGTTTTTGTCTCATTTAGATAGAAGTCATAGACAAGAGAGAGAGGATCAAAAGACTTGGATGTTTTCCTATACTAGATTCCTCCATCTGGATAATTGAAAGTAGTTATATCTCTCTTCATCTTAGTCACCTGGGTTCCTGGAGCTAACTAGTCCTAAATATGAAGAGTCCTTCAGTTAGCTGAGGTGAATCCGTGCAGTGCATAGGAGCTTTGCAGTGGGTGCTGGAGGGACAAGGAAGGGTAGGAGATCAAAGATGGAAACGATGGGCCAGTCTGTGGCATGGTGGTTAAGGCAGCCGGATCCCATGGCTGACTGTGTGGTTCAAGACCTGCACCCAGTGGCTTGAAAAACACACAGATGTATGTCTATATATGGCCAAAATCCTGAAAGGAATGAGAAATGGAGAAGAAATTGTGGCATGACCATTCCCCACGGAGGGACAGCGCTTTCCTTGCCCCTCCCATCTCGCTGTAGCAAGAACATGCAACACCCTCTGGCAAATTAAAGAAACAACAACAAAAAAGATGGAAGAGGCCCAACCACAGGTCCTCGTGCTTTCTGCTGCTGCTCAGAAGGCCGAGGTCACCCAGGAGGCCCAGGTTTGATTCCCTGTCCAACCTGTAGGCTAGGCAAGGTGGCCCATGCCTGGAGGTCCAGCTACTCAAGAGCCAAGGCAGAATTGTGAACTCTAAGCCAGGGAGGGCAACATAAGGAGAGCCTATCTGAAAAGAGCTGGACGCATCTGTGATCTCAGCTACTTGGGAGTCTGAGGCAGGAGGAATGTGACACAGCGAGACCCAGACTTAAACACCAGCCCCCCTCACACACACACACGCTCACACAGCACAACCCGCCCCTGCTAAAAGATAGAAGAAAAGTTGTTTTTGTCCACTTAGAGTTCCTTCTTTAATTATGGGAAATAGTGCTGCTTGCAGGGAACTCAATGTGGAGACTTAGGAATAAATTGTCTACTAGGAACAGGAAAGAGAGAGGACATTTATAAAGTAAGCCCCAAGTCCAAAGTAAAATGCTATAGTTTCCAGTGGTAAGGCCTAGCTGGTTAAGCCAGGAAAGCACCTGTCAGGTTTTGCTTTTAAAGGCTGTTTCAGATCCTTCTTTGTTTATCTGTTTGTTGTTTTCTTTTTTAAAAAAGAATTCTTTAACTTTATTATTTTCCAGTTTGATCAGAGAGAGGCAGAGAGAGAGAGGGAAAGTGAGAAAGCAAGCCACCAGGTTCAGGACTTGAACTGCAGTCATCCATGTGGGAGTCCAGCACCTCAAACCACCACGTTATCTGCTGGTCCATTTGTTTGTTGTTTTAAAATCATTAAACTTTATTCATTATTATTATTTTTTTAATTTGACCAGAGAGAGATGGGAGTGGAGGGAATGAGAAAGCAAGCTGCCAGGTCCAAGACTCGAACTGCAGTCAGTTATGGAGGAGTTCAGCGCCTCAGCCACCACGCCACCTGCCGTCCCTGCCCCCGCCTTCATATTCTTTTAGGAAGAAGGTAGATGTAAGAGAAGACCTGGTAGCCAGGCAAGGCTTCCTAGAAGACAGAAGGTGGGTTGCCATGTCTCCTTCCTCCATGCTGATGTCAAGGGCTCTGCTCTCTTCCAGCCAGCGTCCCGTGTTCGGTGGCCCCAGAAAAGTCTGTGTGTAGACCTCAGCCACCCCAGGTCCGACGTACTTTCTCCCTGGACACCATCCTCAGCTCCTACCTTCTGGGCCAGTGGCCCCGAGATGCTGATGGGGCCTTCACCTGCTATTCCAATGACAAGGCCACCCAGGTAAAGAAGCGTTTTCCTAGTGGGAAGAGGGGTGAGGGTGCACTGGGAGGGCTGGCTAAGGATGCCTTTGACCTCAGTCATTGAATCCTCGACCCTCAGTCATTTGTTCTGGGTTTCGGTTTCACATTCACCATGCAGCTTTTCATTTTCGAACGTCTACCAGCTCGTCTTTCTTATGTGGCCATGAGTTTGTGTTTCATCTGACTAGGGGAAGAATGGAGTCAGCCTCGGTTTTTTAGTTTGGCTTTGAGAATTTGTGTGTGTGGAATCAACAGCTGACTTTGCAATTTATTCTAGATTTGCAAAACTGAGACTTACCTTACTAAAATTAAACTGAGGCCAACATTCATTTGAGTTTGCATTCCCTAGACAACTGGAAGGAGTGGCCAAAAAATGTGCTGGGCCAGGGTAGATCCCCTTAGAGCAACGGGAATGGAAAGTTCTTAGATATGGAGAGCTTTTCCTTGCCAGCAGCCGGGTGCGGGACTTCAATGGCCCCCGCTGAGTGCTGTGGAGCTCAGGGTCCGCTCCTTTGGTGTTTTTCTTTAAGACAGTATTCATTAAGGACCTTAAGTTTGGAAGGAATCTCTCACATCATTCAGTCCATTTTGAGTAAGACCATGTTCGCCTGAGCGAGAAGCCATCTCATATGTGAAATTCTGCACAGATACTCCTTAATCTGATTCAGGGTTTCAACATTCTTAGCAGTGAAATTGTCAAGAGTCAGATCTCCTTTTCAGCAGTTTAAACCCATCCTGTGCAACAGCGGAATAAATCAGTTGCTCCTAGATAAGCGGAAACAGGGTGGAAGGAATACTAGACTCAGAGGCAGCCCTTCACCCTGGGTGCTGTCAAACACGTCAGCTCGGCCAGCACAACCTGGGTGGCGTGTGTGCCCAGTGACATGTGAGCTTGCTCCTTGCAGCCACTTTACCTCCTCTCGGAGCACATCGGGTCAGTCCCTCTCCTTTATTTCTCTGGATGAGATCTGTTTTCAAAGGTCTTTAGCTGGTGCTAGGATACCCAGTACTGTTCTTGGCATGTCGGGACGAGAATAAGGAAATGAGGACAGGATCTGGCTTTGACCAGTCCGGATCCTAGTTCCACGAAGGCCAATGAGCAGCCAGCCAAGGCATGAGATGGGGCCAAATGTCTGGCAAAGTTTACAAGCGGGGAATTCTCATGGGAATGCCCCACCTTGAACCAACAAGAATTTGAGGCAGTTAAAATCCATGGCCTTCTTTAGACTTATGAACAGAATGTGTAAGGGGAATACACAGACCTTCAAAAAGTTTGTGGGAAATAGAATTTAAGTATGGTTCGTTTTGTGGCAAAAAAATTTTTGAAATTTATGCATTTTTTTTCCCATAATAAGCATTTTTCATGAGATTTTTGAAGCCCCTGCATACACTCCATGTAGCAGATAGAGCAGGCCCACTTCCTGGGATCTCCAGGCAACGTCATTCCCTTTATCCTTTGAAAAGAGTAAGTAGGATAGATTATGCTTCCCCTTTTTAGACCTGAGAACCAATAGGCCTTTCTCTTTTGGGGGGGGGGTACTCAGTTCAAATAATATATTTAGTCAAGGAGAGCTTCCTAGAGGAGGAGGACCTGAGGTGTAGGCCACACGTCTTTGTCGCTGTCATTTCCTGCTCTCCCTGCCTTGCCGGAAGTCACCATCTCATCTCTCTGCTAGTTTTCTCTTTGTCAACTCAAGGCGGGTCAGCCTCAGAAGTTCCCTGGCCGGGTTTAGAGGCCTGGGCTCTAGGCTGTGTGTTTCTGCTCAGGCTCCAGCTGTAGGCCAGATCTTTTATATAACAAGTCTGGGCTTCTTGCCACAGTAAGACAGAGGTCAGTGATGCGCCTCTGTGGGTCTGGCAAGGCCGAGCCATACAGCTTTCCTCTTTCCCGGGATGGGCTCCAGCCCTCGAGGAACTCTTAGCAACCTGTCAATATTGTGGCCACAGTCAGGAGGTGGGAGATTTCTGACCAACATAGGCATCCAAACCAAAATATGTACCCTGCCATCTTTCATTCCTGGTCTTCTGGGAATTTTCTGCCTCTAGGTTTTGGGCTCTGTTCACATTCCTGCCTGAACCCTTTGGCCTGGCAACAGCCTACCTCCTTCAACACTGGTGCCACGCCTTGGAGGCCCGAAGCCCTCCTGACATCTCCTTCTGTGGTTGGTGTTCCTTCTCTACTAAGCACCAGGAAATCACCTAGAAAGGACTGGAGATGGAAGAGAGGTTTTCCTGGAGTGTGGGAGTGGGAGAGGGCAGGCAGGGAGATAGGACCTACGAACGTCCTTGAAAGCTTTTATGCTGTGCAAATGCTGATGCCAGAACTTGTCCCCCTTTGCTTTGATCCGAGGGACTTCCACTCTGTCCTTTCTCTTCCAGTCACACCAGTGCGGTAGTTTTTATGTTCTCCTATATCTCCTATAGCTGGCCAGGTCTCATTACTTTGCTGTTACTAGCTACCCTCTCCTCAGCCGAGAGCCAGTGGGCAGACTGTGTTTGGAGACCACATCAGCCCTGCTGCTCTCGGCAGGCCTGCCTCACAGAGAGGTCAGCGACCACAGCCATGGTGTAGGCCAAGCAGCTCCTTCCTCTCTGAACCCCACCCACTCATGCAGGGGAGGCAACGGCCCTGCCCATTGCATCCAGGTTTTAGATCTCGGGGCATGCACAGGACACCTGCCATTTAGGCACATGCTGTGTGGGCTGGAGACAGAGTTAAAGCTCTCATCGATTCGTGAATATGGGGGACTTTAAAAAGTCCATGGAAAATGGAATTAAAGTGTAAGTTTATTTTGGTGCAAAAACTTGTTTGAAATCCATGCAGTTTTCTTTCTTTTTTTTTTTTTGGAGAGGTTTTTACTATAGGGCACGTGCGCTCGCCAGACAGAGAGAGACATAGAGACAGAAAGCGAGAAATCAACCCCCGGGGGGGATGGTCACGCCACAATCCCTTCTCCTCCATTCTCCTCTTGGGATCTTGGGCATGCACGCACATGTGCCCGGTGTGAGTTTTAAGCCACCAGGTCTGGGACGTGAACCGCGGTCGACTATGTGGGAGTCCAGTGACATAGCCATTATGCTAACTGCTGGTTCCCAAAATCCATGCAGTTTTTCATAACACATAACACATGTTTTATGAACTTTTCGAAGACCCCTCGTGTATCTCAGGATTGCCATTACGGTTTCAGTGTTCCCTTCCTGACTGTGTTTTAGGCTCTCCGGCAGATACGAAGGAGAGTCTTCGGATACTTTGTCGTCTGGCACAGAAGCTGGCTTACCCACATATGTGGCTGGGGAAGAAGAGGGGTGTGGCTGGATCTTACTTGGGAAATTGGTCATTCTAGGGAGAAGGGTCTGTGGTTGTGGTAACTGGGGAGGAAGTGCTTTGGGGATGCTACGCATTTTGAGCCAGGAGGAGCAGTGGGAGGGGGATGCCCAGGTTTCCCAGAGATGAGCCTGGTGAGTACAAGGGAGATGGGTTCCCCAGGAGAGCGCACAGAGACCCTGTGCAGACTAGCCATCATCCACCGGGGGTTGCTCTAAGTCTTGGAGGACTTTGTCACCATGCCCCAGCTCTGTCTGAGTGTTTTCCCCTCATCTGGACCACCTCCCCTAGTTCAGTTGGTAAACCAGAGCAGGCCACCAAGGGCTTTGGGCAGGCCCTTCCTAGTAGCAGGCCAGGGTGGGTGACAGCAACACATACTAGTGGCTGTGGTCACCCCTCTCCCTTCATGCTGTGCAGAGCATCTGACTCTCCTCGCACCCCGTCAGAGGGAGGAAGTGGCCTCACCACAGCTGGAATGCCTGTGTTTGAGTGGAGTTCCTCGGCCAGTTTTATGCTGCTGACAGACGGGACTCTGGAATCGCCCCTGTCCAATCACACCCCTATTCTACTCACTCCCTGCCCTGTTTCCTCTGTATTCTCCAGGTGAGGTGGAGAAGCTGCTATGATCTATATTATTTTCTTTTTCTTTTACCCTTGACTTAAAAATCCTCAACAGAACGTCATGAAGGTCAGAGGAAGGGGTGGGTGTGCTCACTGGGAGGCCTTCCCTCTACGTCTTTTCCCCACCCGTGGACTGTGCTCCCCTTTTCCTAAGCCAGCACCTCAACTTTCAGCGATGACACACAGTTCAGCCTGACCCTCATAGGCCTGTTTTTTCTGTGGGTGTGGGGGCCTGGGCACAGCGCCTACTTTCCAAACTGGCGCTCAGGACCAGTTGTTCGGCACATAGTTTGACAACAGCACCAAACATTTGAAGTGGGGCCATGGTGGAAAATCTGAGGGTTACATAGTCCCTGTAAGGCCAGAGATGGTGGCCTTGGCCACCTGCAGCCCGAGTTCTCAGTGCTGGCCAGCAAACCACCCTCAGAGCCTTTTCCTGCCTTTTTGTTTAGCCAGAGCCCTAAGGGACTGATTCCCTGCTGGATTTCAGTTCAACATGTAGTTACTGACCATCTCTACCAGGCCAGGCACCATGCTGCTGTCTGCTTCCGCACAGGTGTAGCGGGTTATGTTCCCAGGGCCTGGCCCAGCTCTGCACGTGTAGTCTCTTCAGGGGCTAAGGCCCTGGAGACAGCAAGCCAGGACTCTTCCTGCTCTGTTCATGAAGTCCAGATAGAAACTTAGTTGCATTGGGCCTAAGAAAGAGACTCCAGTGTGGAGGGTTTCAGCTCCATCCAGCCCACCTCATGAGACTAGGAGTTTCTTCGGGAAGCCGTCCTCTACCTCCACGCTCAGTTACGCTTCTGCATGTTGCTCTGGGATCTCAGAATCCCAGGAAAGACTTCCTTGGCTGACCCACATCCAGTTTTGCACAGCCCTGATACCATCTACAGAGCTGGCTAATGCCACCCAGGGTTGGTGAGCAGCCCTTCTCCTCCCCAGCAGCTCCTTCTAGGTCAGGAAGTTCATTAAGTCTGATCCAGGGGATGAGTTCCTTTGCTTTTTGGTCCACTTCCAAAGGGTCAAGAAGGACCCCTTGTAGTGCTGCCACACAGCACAGCCTGACCTTGTCATGGCCCACAGGGTCGTTCTTTGAAGAGTAGCCTTCCTTAACTGTGGTTTTTCTGTACTTCGAAAAGACTGGTCCAGACCTCAGTGGGGACAGGAGAGAGTCCTGTCTAATCAGTGGCACTGTAGTAAGGGAGACATGGCCCCTACTCTGGCATTCTCAGTCCAGTTGGAGGGGCTAAAGCTCACCCCTGCATCTGTGCCTGCTTTCAGGATATCCCATGCTAGTGAATAAATGGCTTTAAACACAGGCTGGCCTGCTGTTTTTAGTTCCTGAGACTGCTTTAACAAATAACCTCAGATTTAGAGCGTCAGACAACAGAAATGGATTCTCAGAGTTCTGGAGACCAGCAGTCCAAGTTCAGTTTCCCTGGGCCAGCTTGCAGGTGTGGGCTGGGCCATGTTCTTAGGAGGCTCTTAGGAGAGTCCTTTCCATGCCTCTTCCAGCTTCTGGTGGTTGCTGGCATTGCTTGGCTAGTAGCCACCTTACTCCAGTCTCTGCCTCTGCGGTTGTATCGTCTTCTCTTCTGTGTGTGTGTCTAATCTCCCTCTGTCCCTTATAAGAAGACTTGTAATGGCATTTAGAGCTCGCCTGGTTAATCCAGGATAATCTTCCCATTGCGAGATCCTTAACTTAATCACATGCAGAAGCTTTACCATTTAAGGGGGCATTTTAACCTGTCACACTTACTGATCTCATGGCCTGCTGCTCTGCCCCAACCCCATTGGCCTCCTTCTCATTCTCGCACACACCAGGTCCGCTCCTGCCCCAGGGCCTTTGCACTTGCTGTTCTCTGTCTGGGCCACTCTTCCCTCAGACACCCCATAGCTCACTCTCTCACCTCACTCGTCCTTTCATTCAGACCTTACCTTTTGGTTGAGGACTTCCCTGATATTTCAAATCACGTCTCCACTTCCCAGCATTCCTACCCCCTGTCTTTGCTTTATTTTTCTCTTTAGCACTTATCACTGTTTAAGTCGTGTCCTCAATTAGAACACAAACGAAGGGACAAGAATGTTGCTGTTGCGAGCGCTGTTGTGTCCCCAGCACCTGGAACAGCGCTCGGCACACAGCATGCCTTCAGTGACTGTTTGCTGAGCGCACGAAGGATGTCTGGCCTAAGCCTGTCTGCACAGAGGAGCATCGCGAGGCAGATGGATTAGGGCTCCCTGGGAGACGAGAGGAGCTAGGGCAGACCATCTTAGATGGGGAGTCCAGGCCTGGAGGGCAGAGGTGAAGGAAGGAAAAGGAGATGGAGATGGGGGTGCCTGGGTAGGGCAGAGGGTAAGCTGTGGCCAGTCCATGGGGTGAAAGGCCCAGTGGCGCAGTCTGGCCAGGGGCGCCTTCTCGTACCGATTACACAGAGTGGGTGCGAGACATCGCTGAGCAGAGAGAGGACAGAGGATCCTAGCTGCCATGATTTTCCCATCCTTTCTAAACTCCCCTTTCACCTCCTCCCCTATCCCAGGAGAAAGGCGGTAGTTGAAGAGTTGGCAAGAGATGTTAGACCCAGTGGCAGCTTCAGTGTGGCTGTTCTTTCCTATCCCGCCTCCCACTTCTTACCAGCAAGTACAGTATCTTCCTGGGGGAGGAGAAACAGGCACCCTCACCTGAGCTTTGGTCATCCCTCCTCTCCAGGGACCTCAGGCTCAGGTGGGACCCAGAGCTCGAGTAGCAGAGCTAGCTAGTCTTTGTAAGGGTTGGCTCTGGGGCCCTGGGAAGGGAAGAGCACTTGTGTGTCGGCTGGGCGGAAGTAGCTATGCAGGAGATGGGCTTCCTCCTCACTTCCCGGGACCCACAGCAGTCTTTTCTAAGGCTCAGCATGCTAACACCCTGGTTTAGAGAGACATGGGCATTTGGAAGTCAACTGACAGCTTGATTTGCATGTGCCAGCTTCGCTTCAAGGGCTTTGGGGTGTGTGTCCAAGATACAGGCCTGAAGGAAGTGCTGCCTGCCCTTTTCCCAAAGGGGAGGGCTGTGGGGAAATGGATCTCTGGCTGCTCCCACTGGTGATGCAAGCACCAGGGCAAGGAAGTTGGAAGTTGGGCAGTTGCCACTCAGCCCAGTCCAGGTCCCAACCAGTGGGCAGCTGGAGGAGGAAGAGCCAGGGTCCCTCAGTGCCCAGCAGCCCCTCCATCGCAGCTGTCACACATGGCAGTCTGCTCTCAGTCCCGCTTACACTGTCCCTGCTGAGCTCCCCTTAGCAGCTGTTGGGTGGTGAGTGGTTTGCTTTGTTGGTTTTTTTCCCCCATCCTCCACCCTTTCTGTTTGCAGCAGTCTCTCGGGGGAGGTCAGCAAATCTCTCGGAGGAGACAGTTCCCAGGCCCTCATGGTCTGGCAGCTTGTGTGTAGAAGTTAGAAAGGAACGGGGTCCACTGGAGCATCCCCCCTGGGCTCCTCCCTTGGAACGGAAGTGGGGATATTGGTGGTGGGAGCGATCTGGGCCTCTTTGGCTTCATGCTTAGAGCCAACAGCTTCCTCCCTGAGTGGGGACTCCGGAAGTGGTTCTCCAGCTCCCCTGCTACCATCTTGGGCCCTCTGTCTCCCATGCAGCAGAGCAGGGAGGAGCGCAGAGGGAGAACCAGTCTCATCGAGGGCAGGGCAGGCCCAGAAGGAGTAGTGGCATCAGGGCTCGCTTCAGAATTCTCATGCCCTCCTTTCTGAAAATGTTCCCACTCTGCTTATTCAGGGGACTTGGGTGTCTCCAACACTTATTCTATGTGTAGGGGCAAGTCAAGGAGCCAGCATGAGGCTTTGCGTTCAGTGGGAGCCTCCAGCCTAGGTCAGGGGCACCTGTGTTGACCTTTCCCCTGTTACCAGCTAACCGTTCCTTACTGAAGTCCTGTCTGTTAACCTGCTTTCATTTAGCTCCCAGGAACCCGGTCTGCACTGGGCACACAGGGAGAGAAATACAGAATGCCAGCAAAGCTCTGAGCCGGCGCTCCTTTGAACTGGTTGGGGTAGGAGGAGCCACTGGGGAGTCCTGGAATAACTGAGGAAAATGATGCTTGTATGAAAGTTCTAAGACAGTGGAGAGGAGGTTGACCTTATTGGTATCGGGGGAAGGTTGCCTTGTGGGTGAGAACTAGGCAGGGGCAGGCTAGGTGGAGAAGCCAGAGAGAACAAAGCAGGCTAGGGGTGTTCTGAGGGCTGATGAGCAGATAGCAGAAACCTTCCAAAGGCCACTGCCTCTACCAGGAAGACCGATGTCTGCGTCCCCACGCTGCCTGAGAAGCTGCTCGGTCTCACTGTTTCTCTCCCTACAGACCCCTCTGTCCTGGCAAGAACTAGAAGGTGAGCGAGCCAGCTTCTGCACACACAAGCGTTCAGCGTCCTGGGGTAGCACAGACCACAGAAAAGAGGTAACCGCCCTCTTCGACTTTCAGGCAGGGGCTGCCTCTCCTCTGTCCCCGAACAGCATGGGAGGATTAAGCTTCAGAGTGCACTCGCATCTCCAGCAGCCTTTCCCCACTGAGATGTTCCCTTCATCCCGACTTCCAGTCTTGCAGTGGCTGGGTCTTAGCACCCTGACCCTCCTACAAGGTGGGGCCTGACCGGCACTACTGGTGCCTCGCAGCAGCCAAGCACAGGGCCAGAGCCACCACTGTTCTCAGTTTTCTTTGAGGCTGGATCCAGATAAACACTTCAAAGACTGGAAGGAGGCAGGGAGTGGGTTCCTGGGAATCGGGAGCCCCCAACCTCATTTACTACGTGAGTATGCCAGCCTGAGGTTTAAACGCAGAGAAACACGGTGATATGCTCCCGCACACTTTTTCCTGGCCCTCCCTCTCAGGAGGGCTCATCACTGAGGCCGAGTAGGGATTTTACCCCAAACCAGCTCTGCCTGACCCGCCATGACCTTGCTCCCGAGACCTCTTCCTCCTAGGACTCACCCTTGACCTCTCCCTTTTAAAAATATATTTGTTTATTTCTTCATGTCAGCCCCAGACCATGGGCACACACGTACATGCCCAACACACTGGAAAAGGATTTGATTCCAGAACCTTCTCATGTGGTCCTTCTCACACTGTTGGTGTTTTACTGCTGTACTGTGGTCTAGCCCTGCTCCTCAACCCTCATTCATTCATTCATTCATTCATTCATTTTTTTTTTCACATTTTAAATAAATTACTCGGGAACCAGCAGTTAGCATAATGGCTATGTCGCTGGACTCCCACGTAGTCGACCGCGGTTTGCGTCTCAGACCCGGTGGCTTAAAACTCACACCGGGTGCGTGTGCATGCGTGCCCAAGATCCCGAGAGGAGAATGGAGAAGGGATTGCGGCGTGACCATCCCCCCTCGGGGGTGATTTCTCGCTTTCTGTCTCTATGTCTCTCTCTGTCTGGCGAGTGCACGCACCCTATAGCAAAAAACCTCTCAAAAAAAAAAAAAAACTTATTTCTTCATTCTTTTTATTCATTCATTTTATTTTAATTTGACCAGAGAGAGACAGAGAGAGAGAGAAAGGGAAAATGAGAAAGCGAGCCACCAGGTCCAGTACTTGATTCATGGTCAGCCATGTGGGAGTGTCCAGCGTTTAACCACTATGCCATCTGCTGGTCCCCCCATTCATTCATTTTTAAAAATTTGCCAGAACGTGGGACCAGCAGGTGGTGTGGTCATCAAGGTGGCTCCAAAATGACTGACTGCAATTTGAGTCCCAAACCCAGTAACTTGAAAATCACACCAGGCACATGGGGCATGCGTGCCCAAAACCTCAGAAGGGGTTACAGCACGGCCATCCCTCCTGAGGGGCAGTTTCTCACTTTCCCTCTCACTGTCTCTCTCTTGTGAGTGCATGTGCCCTAAGGCAAATTTCCTTTAAAAAGAGAAAAATCATCAGAAGGCACATACACTTGCAAGAGAGGGAAAAGCACCCTCCCTTATGGGGAATGGTCATGTTACAATCCCTTCTCTTTTGTTTCTTTCATTTCTCCCTTTTTTCCAGGATTTTAAGCACACACATACATATGTCCAGAGTGTTTTTCAAGAAGCCACTGGGTCAGGGACTCAAACTGTATAGTTGGCCATGTGGAATTTAGCTCCCTTAGCCACCAGGCCACAGAGCTGGCCCATAGTGTGGTCGATTTAAAACTAGGGAAGGTATTTTTCCCCTTCCTGGTCTCAGGGCCTTTGAGATAGATGTGAATGTGCTTGAGGAAGAACTGCTGCCAGCACTCACAGACCATCTCCCATTGCTATTAACGGAGCGGCATCCCAGGCCTCTGAAATCTGGGAAAGGCGAACATGGCTCTAGTGTTGTGTATTTTTAATTTTTTGGAAACTGACCTATCTATAGACTCATGGTAATTCTAAAAATCAAGTAATCTAGTCAGTGAGGGATCCAGCTTGTCTAAGGAATCTGTCGTCATGGTTTTTAATAGCGCCAGGTATTTGGAGATAGGAGACTCGCTTTTGCATATCCTCATAGGCCTTTGGCAGGAGCCACCCCAGGGACGAGGGACCCAGAACACTTTGCTTGGCTTCACCTGCCTCTCCTCTCCCTTTCTGGGCTAGATTACCAAGTTGAAGCAACAGCTGCAGAGGACGAAGCTGAGCCGCAGTGGGAAAGAGAAGGAACGGGGTTCCCCACTGCAGGGGGACCATGCTGTGCGGGGAGCACTGAGGGTAAGTTGTCTCACCCTGCCTGTCCCCTCTGTCCTCCGGGGCGGGCTCGCCTGAGGGGGAGATGTCTTGGGCCACACTGGCCACGTGTGTGACCACACAAAGCGCTAGTACCCACTTGGATTTGCTGAGTGACACTGGAAGGGCTTCTTGCTGTTCTGAATGTCTCTCTCCTCCCCTCCCACGCCTGGATAATTGAGGCAGTGACTCTGAAAGGACACCTAGACCTATCAGAACTCTAACTTCAGAGAGACTCCCACGGAGTGGACCTACTGCCATCCGCGTCTGTCCCATGTTGTCCTTTGTTTCTTTTCCTCCCTCTCTCCCTCCTTGCTTCCCTCCCTTCCTTTCTTTCCATTTATAAGCAAGAGGGAAAGGGA